ATCTAGAAAAATGTCTTCACTGACTTACAAGACTCACGAAATGTTAAGGCTGGACCAGGGTCTTGAGGATGTAGAGTTCAACCACTTAGCTGATGCTCGAAGCCCACTTTCAGGATCCTACCTGCAAGTTGTTCAGTGCGTGCTTCAGGACATGACCTGACCACACTCCAAGCCAGCACACACTCACACAGATGCAAGCAGGGACTGTTACTCTCACATCTGTGTCTCCAACACTGGGGACACAGTGGCTGGTACAGTTTTTTTTGATTGACTAGATCCACGAATCAGCTTGCTATGACACTGAAATTTCATAATTGGAAATCTATCTACTTGTACATCTAGTTCATTTTTTTCATCCTGTCCAAAAGAACACATTGGGACACCTCTTTGAAATCCTGATATACCAAATATACTGTGTTTCCTCTATGTATAAGGCTGAAAATGACATTGAGATATTAGACTTTTTGCTATTTTGGCTCAGTAATCCAATGGTGGCTCCTTACTGGTCAATATTTTCTTTTCTAAGAGCTCACCAATCATCCATGTAATATTTTACTTGGATTGATTTGTGACCTTGGTCATGGCACCTGACTCAAAATTTGCCAGAAAATAATAATTGCTTACTGAATTATTTGCAAATATATTTATTACATTATGAGCTAAGTATTATGTGTGAGTGTTTGTGTGTTCTATTTAATCCTCACAACAATCTTAGAAGGCAGGCACCACACACCTTTGCTTTTTTTCTTTTCCAGCATCCACTTTGATCTTTTTAAACAAGAACTCCAATTTCTATTTGCTAATCCAATTTTCCTTCACTGTCAGTTTAAGAAAGCTGTGTTGGCCCCTTGACAGATTCCAGAACTTCTGACAGACTTCAGGCACCTGATGAATCTTGAACTACATTTTCAACCCATAAAATGGGGTGAATGGTTTACTACCTTCCTTCTGGGTAGGTGGTTGCTGAGGCAATTTTACAATATGCTCCTTATCACTTTTCCTCTCATATTTGTTTACTTAGTTACCTAATAAACTCACATTAACTGAGGCAACCAGAGTGTGTGTGTTCTCTGCAATGAGTTCTTTTCTCCGAATTCTCAAAATAACTTCTAGTTCCTTGACAATGACCAATTTTTAATCTTTCAAAAAGTAATTGAGAGGCAACTTAATGTAGTAGAAAGATCCCTGGACTATGAAGGTAGAAGGCCTGATTCAAGCCTCAGGCCCACCATTTACTAGCTGTGACTTTAGAAGTCAATGACTCCTCTGTGCCTAGGTTAGTAGCATAAAGAAATATTGTTAAGTCTTTTAACAATAGACCTGCTATTTCCTTGAATCCCTTTTTTGGGGGGAGGGTGGTCAGGGTCAGGTTCTAATTTGTGAATCTCAAATACATGCCTCAAGTCACTGTGCAGAATGAAGGCAAGCTGGCTCCTTCCTGTCCTCTCTTCCACAGAAATTTGGTGAAGGAAATACACATATAAGTCCAGGAGGCACAGAGAGTCCCAAACAATTTGGACCCAAAGAGGACCACACCAAGACACATCACAATTAAAATGCCAAAGGTTAAAAATAAAGAGAGAATCTTAAAAGTAGCAAGACAAAAGAAGAGAGTTACCTACAAAGGAGTTTCCATAACAGTGTCAGCTAGTCTCTCAAAAGAATCTTTTCAGTCTAGAAGGGACTGGCAAGAAGTATGCAAAGCAATGAAAAGCAAGGACCTACAACCTACATTACTCTATCCAGCAAAGCTATCATTTAGAATGGAAAGACAGATAAAGTGCTTCCCAGACAAGGTAAAGCTAAAGGAGTTCATCACCAAGCCCTTATTACATGAAATGTTAAAGGAACTTTTTTAAGAAAAAGAAGATCAAACTATGAACATTAAAATGGCAACAAATTCACAACTGTTGATAACTGAATCTAAAAAACAAAGCAAATGACCAGAACAGGAACAGAATCATAGACATGGAGATTATTTGGAGGGTTATCAGCCAGAAGGGGGAAGAGGAAGAATGAGGAGCATCTCTGCTCCTTAGCAGGGATGAAGAAGTATCACTGGTAGGTACAAAATAGACAGGGAGATGTTCAGAATAGTGTATGAAATGGAGAAGCCAATGAATTTAACATGCACGACCCATGGGTATGAACTGAGGGGGGGGTTGGGAGAACTGCTAGAGTGAATGAGGGCACCAGGCAGAGATGGACAAAGGGGGAAAAATTGGGAGAACTATAATAGCATAATCAATAAAAACCCTTCCCAGGACCAACTTTCTCTCCCTCTTTTTCTCCTTCCCTTCCTCTCTCTCTGAAAATAAATAAATAAAATATTTTAAAATATATATATATATATTAAAATAAATAAATAAATAGATATACATGTAGTTGATAAACAAACTCAGTTATTTAATCCACTGATTTCTTTAATTAAAAGTTATGGTTATATGCCCTGGCAGGTATGGCTCTAGATTGAGCACTGGCTTGTGAACCAAAAGGTTGCCAGTTTGATTCCCTCTCAGAGCACATGCCTGGGTTGTGGGCCAGGTCCCTAGCTGGGGGTGTGCGAAAGGCAACTGATTGATGATTCCCACACACATCAGTGTCTTGCTTCTCTCTTTCTCCCTCCCTTCTCCTCTATCTAAAAATAAATAAATAAATAAGTGTTACATTACATTAAAAAATTTTAAAACCATTACATTTAAAATTTTTTTAAAGTTATGGTTATAGAAATGAAGAGATATCTAAACAAATTTCACATTTCATTTACTAGAATTAGGAAAGAATAACATTTATTAAACATAATATATATTTAATATTTATTTATTTATTTATTTATCTATCTTTAGAGGGGAAGGAGAGAGGGAGAGAAACATGGATGTATGGTTGTCTCTAGTGCATCCCCTGCTGGGAACTGGCCTGCAGGGAACTGGCTTGCAACCCAGGCATGTACCCTGACTGGGAATTGAACTGCAATCCTCTGGTTTGCAAACCTGCACTCAATCCACTGAGCTACATCACCCAGGGAAAAATAATATATATTTAAAGATCTCCTTTTTTGCTAACTTTGTACAGAAAAGTGTCACTGTAATTCACTCTAAAAAGATTTACAAGTCTACACTGATAACATTTTAATTCTCTCAAGGCTGTAAGATCATTTTTCAAAATCCAAAAGGAAGTGAAAAAAGGTCTAAAACAAAGCCTAGTAGATTATTCAGCATACAAAAGATGTAAAAGAAATAATTTGATAAAATTGCAGACTTTTGTTTTTGTAAATAAATTTTTGACAATAGTCAATGCTTTATGTGGTTTCTAAGTGGTAATTAAGATTTCTTAGCAGAGGCAATACACTTAGTAATGAAAGCATATCATCTTTGCAGGAATCTTGGTTTCTAAATATCAGTCATCACTAAAAGGAACCAGGATTCCTTGGAGAAATGGCTGACTCCAAGGCAGGGAAGGTATAAGATGAACCCAAAACATCTGGTTGTTCCATCAATATGAAATTACTCAACGGGGAAAAGAAAAAATAAAGCTGGGGCATGACTACAGGTCACAGGAACTGGCTAAAAAGTTTTCCCATTGGCTAAATCTGAGAAAATGTGTGCATAAAAAATAAATATGGACAGTAATGGATTATAATTCATAAAGTAAATTATGAAACCTTGAAGTCCAAACTGATAATTGATAAGCAACAAAATCCAGACTGATAAGTGTGGAGGACAAGGTTGAAATGGAAACGGCCATAGTAACACTTGGTTTGGCATGGATCGTCAAAAGACACTCCATCTAAAGTTGGGGGTGGTGAGGGGAGTTTGGGGAGGAGCAGGATGTCTGCATGATTTCATCCAGAGATGCTATTTTAGTTGAAGGAGAAAAACATAACTAGTTATTAGAGAAACTTGACAACACCTTGACTGGGTAATCAAAATTAACATCACCAGAGTCCTCTGAATGTGATTTCCTGAGGTCACAGGCCAGTTATTCTGGCCAAGGACACAGTACCTGAGTTCAATAATGACTGGGCATTCCAGGTATATAGACTACTATGAGCAAAGGGCCAAAGGTAGGAAAGTACATGTGCGTGCTTTATTTTTAGAAAATAAAGAGTAATTTAGTTCAGCTAATCCCTAGAAGATGAGGCAAGGGAGGGAGAAATAAAATTATAAAGATAGGTTGGGGCCATAATGTGGAGGATTTTGCATGTTGGCTGAGAATTCTGTATTTAAATTTAATAGAAACTATAAAGATTGATTTTATTACACATGAATAGGAAAGAAAGCTTTAAAGAAAAATATGGTAAGATCAATACACATATAGTTTTTCAGAAAGAATTTCAACATGGTATTGAATATGGAAGTTTATTTCCTTTCTTCCATTCATGAGATCGATTGACGGAGCGGGCCCAGGTGCCAGGTCCACTGTGGTACAAAGGACAGAGTTATTCCCTGCGCTCTCGGACCTCACAGTCCTAGAGGTTCTACTTAGGCTGTCTTTTATTTCAAATGGTTTCTTGGTCCAGTGCCTAACTGTTACAGGTTTCTTTCTTTGGTTCCTCACCGTTAAGGGTACGTGCAGCACTGATCGTGCTTTCTCTACCATTAGCAGCAGTTATAATGTATTTTATGTACTGTTTTTATGGAAACACTGTGTACACAGGTGATGATAGTTAGAAATTTAAATTTAAAAAACATCTTCATGCTTTAATTATTGTGTAACTGAAATCTTGTTTAAGAATTTAGTTATTTCTAGAGTAGTCAAATCCATAGAGAAGAGAGAGGAAAGGTGGTTGCCAAGGACCGTGGGGAAGGGGGATGGGAAGTTAGTTTAATGGGAAGGTAAAGTTCAGGAGATGGTTTGTGGTGGTAGCTGTTCAACTATGTGTATGCACCTAATGCCACAGAACTGTACCCTTAAAATGGAAAATATCATGTTATGTATATTTTACCACAATTAAAAATAATTTAACATTAATCATAGCCAATCTTTATATTTGTACTCACGAAGGAGCAATATCCAGGTGGTTGATGCTAAATCCAGAAGAGCAGAAGCCTCCTAGTGTTGTTGATATGGTTAGGAATGCAACAGCCAAAGAATAATCACAACCTATAAATCCAGCGGCAACCAGAAATACTGCAGGTCCAATCATTCCTGAAGTTAAAAGGTTATAAAAAGAAAAAGCCCTGGCATTAACATTTGCTTGCTGTACCTTAATATAGCACAAATCTGATATTTGGTATCACTGCCACCTACTGTAGAAACACTGTATTACCTAGAAGACTTCAAGTTTAAATTACATAGTTTCATAGAAAAAACTAGTGGAAAACAGTCATGCAACTAATGAAACTAATATAAAAGTAAAAGGAAACTCTTGTTATGCAGTCCATTAAATTTACATGTGATGAAGACTCAGCTAGAGTTTCATCTACAATGTTAGAGAAAAGAGCAAAAAGAGAAAAACTGAAAAATATGGTCCCAGAGAGAAGCAATAGAGTGTGATTTAAAATTCAAAGAAAATAAATTAAATTATAAACTGTTGGATAAAGTTCGAAAAACACTCTAGGTTTTAACAACTGAAAGCAATATGAATAGCTTATTACAGGCAGTTAAGCATAAAATACAACCTAGGAAGGGACTTAGTGCGTGGGCTGCCACTTTTTCCGTGTCCGCAGCAGTGCGATCCGGAAACACTCTGTGGTGACAGGATGTTGTATTTGTACATACTGCAACTGAGAAACTAATTTTCAAATTTCAATTGAATTTAAATAGCAACATTTGGCTGGTGGCTACTGTACTGAACAGATCAGGTCCACAGAAAGTCAAAAAAGGAGAAAGGCCTTTTTAAAAATCTATTCTAAAGGAATTTATTTCCCTTGAAGATATGGAATAATTTCTTGAGTCTAAATAAGTAAGCAGTGGAACAGGACAGCAAAGTTCAGTAGTAGTTTAGAAGTGTTTACATAATAATCCCAGTAAGCAGTGAACAGGACAGCAAAGTTCAGTAGTAGTCCAGAAGTGTTTACATAATAATCCCAAATAGGATAATTCTGTACGCTAATGCACTATATGCATTAAACATTCTGTTTTAATATGTGAAAAAAATAAATGATGAATATTATCACTTATACTTTGCCTTACACTGTAAACACAGTAAATAACTCAAAACAAAACCTGATTCACTTCACTTACCTATAAGGCTAAAAACTCTTCGAACACATATAGTTGAAAAATTCCATTTTGCTCTTAAATGGTCAGCAGCTTGACCAGACAGGATCATACATAGCCAACAGCCAAAATAAGGCACTGCTGATAAAATTCCATTCTGGGAGGAATAAGAAGATACAGGATGAATTATGGTGACAGGAAAACCCAAAATAAACACACACATACCTCTACCACCACTTGAAAACAAAAGAAATCCATAGCACTATACTGTTAATTTTACATAGTTACAGTTAATAAGTTTGGTTTACAGAAGGATTTTGGGGATTCAGCTCAGTGCAGTCCCTAAGATCTTGTCTTCGAGGGAACGAGAGTTCACCACAGCCAAGTCTGCTCAAGGAAATCTTGACTGTTATTTTGGGCCTTGGGCTGTAGCTTCAGGGAGAGAAGCCAAGTCTTCCTATTAGCTTATGGATTTTCCCCACTGAACAGTTTCTGTCTTCAGTTTTCACTTATTTACTTTTAAAATATTTTTATTATAAAAAACATACAAAAACAAATAAATATGTATCTTAATGGATTATTCTTTTTTAAATTGACTTTAGAGAATGGAAGGGGAAGAGAAAGAGGAACATCGATTTGTTGTTCCACTTATTTGCGTATTCACTGGCTGCTTCTTGTATGTGCCCTGACCAGGAATCAAATCCACAACCTTGGCGCATCAGGATGATGCTCTACCAACTAAGCCGCCCAGCAAGGGCTCTTAATGAATTATTTTTAAGTGAACACCATCTAGGGCAAGTGCCTGGTACACTAGCACATGCTTTGAGCAGTGGACAAAAGACAGTGAAGTGACTGAAAAACGCTCTTTTAAGTTACCACCTGAACAAAATGAAAGCACCAGGAGATAGAAAACAGAATTGATTATAAAAATAAATGGTTTTTTTTTTTTTGGTAAGAAACGATTTGACAGCTTTTAAGATAAATCATAAACTCTGTAAAATAAAGAACACACACTCAAAAAAAGAGAAATATTTTTTCTATTCATATTTCCTTAGCACAAACCTGAGGTGCCAAGATTAAATGGCCTAATTCTGATAAAAACTAGTGTTTTTATAGTCTGAGATGGGTACTCTCCTTAGTGTTTACACACTCAAAAAAGGCAGAAAGATATTTTATAAGCAATATTTAAATCTTGCAATAATTCTATTTAAGCACTATTCATGGTGCAGACCAGAAAATTTTAATATTTTAAATTTGTGTGCTTAAGAAAATATTTAATTTCTTTCATTATAGTTTGTGGTTCTCTGTATTAAGATGTTGTATGCTTCCAGTTCTTCTGTAACTGAAAATTTTTATTTCTTTTTGGCATTATGCCGTGTAATTTCCTTTTCAAATTTTATTCCATTCGGGCTTCTGCATAGTGGGACCACATCTATCATCACCTGTGGCAGAATCCACAGGTGAAAAGACTGTCATAAACAGAGGAGTTAGTTTTCAGATCTTGGTCTTGTTCCCTGGTGGATAAGGGTGAAAGTTTATCACAGTTACTGAATTTTTCTACTTGAAGCAGCAATTGTTTTTTACAGCTCTGATGTTAAAACCCCCCCCAACAACCTAAAACTACTAAAATCTTCAACATTTATTCATTTGATGGGCATCTTCTACAGTTACTAAGCTTTCTGTGCAAGGATACAATTCTTTACATCCACTTATTTAAAAAGTTTGTTCCAAAATATAGTATCTAAAATAGGGTGACAGATATTACCCCAACTCTCCCTGAGTTGTAAGAAATAGGAACAGTAGAATTGGAAAAAACAAGGAAAAAAGTGAGAATAACTGATGAAACCAAACTCATAAGAAAAAGTAAGCTTATAGAAAAAGATCAAGAGCTTTAAAATTTTAAATTAATGAGATTATAATTTTAAATACAAAGCTTCTCAAAGCAAGCTTTATCTTAAGCAAAAGCCATTTCATGAGTGTGATATATTGTTTTTTAAGGAAAAAATCCAAGTTGAAAAGAGGCTTCTAGGGGGTCAAATACATGGTGACAGATGGAAACTAGACTTTTGGTGGTGAGCATTCTGTAGTGAATACAGACACCAAATTATAATGTTGGTATACCTGAAACTTATATAATGCTATTAATCAGTGTTACCTTGATAATATAAAAAAGGTTTCTCCTGGCTGGTGTAGCTCAGTGGATTGAACCAAGGGGCTGCCAGTTCACAGTCAGGGCACATGCCTGGGTTGTGAGCCAGGTCCCCGGTAGTGGGTGCCCAAGAGGCAACCACATATTTATGTTTCTTTCTCTCCCTTTCTCCCTCCATTCCCCTCTCTTTAAAAATAAATAAATAAAATCTTTAAAAAAAGACTTCTATACAACTAGAGAATTACTGTCAAACTTTATTCACATTTCTTTTAATTTTGAGAGAAAAATGCAAGATAAAAAATTCTTGTTTTAAAGTCTCTCATTATAGAACTTTAAAAATCCATAAAATAGATAAAGACAACTAAGTGCACAGCAGTAATTCCTGGCCAGCTATTGATATTTCATTCTTCCCACAGTTCTCCCAGGAAAATCTCAGATAGAAACATCGGGGGAATAATCTTTAGATCTGCATGCAATTCATCACTGTAGTAGATTGTGGTCAGGTTCTATTAACAGGTAACACAGAGCAAAAAAGGTTGCTCACAACAAATCCATCCCGAGCTATTGCCAAAGCCTTGTTTTAGTTTACTTTTGTCAATGTTATTTGTGGATATATTTTTGTATAACTGATCTTGTTTTTCAAAAGTAGGCAGAAGAGATCTTCATGGTTCAGCTGCCTGAATGAAGTTCAAGGTTTGGTTCATGAGGCCAATGTTTTCAGTATGCTTTGAGAGAGAGGTGACTGGAGATACACTTTAACCATGTTTAAAGCTGGTTAACTCCAGGTTAACCAAGTTGTGTAGTCAGCCTCGCTATCTTTATATTCAGCATTGAGGCTGCTTCTTGACTCCTGGGGTGTTAGGGCCCAGGACAGGCCACCCCCAGATACCCCACAATGAATTGGTGATGATTTCAACTAAAATCACTTGAGAAGCAGCAGGAATGGGAGGAGCTCTCTGACTCCTCTTTTTGAGGAAATAAATCTCCATGTGATGAGCGTCCTCTCTGCTTCTAAGAGACACCCATATCCCAAGGGTTAGAAAAGTCCAGAGTTTAAAAGCTTGCATAAGCAAACCTTGTAAAGTCTTTACTAATTTACTACCTAAGCCCAAACCTTGCTTAGATGCCTTCCTAATGAGTAATTTCTTTGACCTGACAATTTCTCACAAGTTTATCATTTCTTTGTCTAAAAAATATAAAAAGGTGCCTGGTTCCATCAGTTCTTTGAGTCTTATTTTATGAAACGAGCATCATATTGTGGCTCCTCATGTGCATGTATTAAATAGGTTTTTCTCCTGTTAATGTAATATCAATTTTATTATTTTATTGCCAGTCCAGCCAAAAGAACTGCAAAAGTATAGAAAGTGAGGGAAATTCTCCCCTCTCCCTGATAATTTTGGTGAGCCAGTCAGGAACCCTCACTGCTGGGAAAGATTGCCTTTTCCTGGGACTGCAGCAGCTAAGAGATCCTTGAGAAATCTGACAACGAGCTGGCAAACAGGTCGACTTTTTCTTACCTGGTCAGCCTCCTGGAATCTATGAAAAACAACGTGATGAGAATTTTACTCTTTCTTTCTACATTTAGATTAGCAGGAGGGTTAGAGAGCTCTTCTCACTCCCTGCTGCTTCTTAAGTGATTTTAGTTTGAAATAATCAATATGCCAGTGTGAGATATCTTGGGGTGGTCTGCCCTGGGCCCTAACAAGGGCTATCTTTCACTTCGTGGCTGAGTAATATTCCATTGCACGAATATTCCACCTTTTGTTTATCTGTTCACTAGCTGGTGGACATTTGCATTGTTTCCACTTTTGTCATTATGAGTAATGCTGCTATGAACATTTGTGTACACGTATCTGTGGACATCTATTTTCAGTTCTCTTGGGCACAGACCTAGGAATGGAATTGCTGGGTCATATGATAACTTTATGTTTAATTTTCTGAGGATTTGACAAACTCTTATACAACTGCCATATCATTTTACATTCTCACCATTAATGTATGATTGTACAACCTCAACAACAACACTTGTTATTTTCTGTTTAAAAAAATTTTAAATAGGTGTGAACTGGTATATGGTATATATATATGGTTTTGATTTACCAGAGGAGACTGCCCAAAACCCCAGAATTTATTTATAAAAATTGTGTGTTTATTCTTAGGGCATGTTTAAACTTCAGTCACCTTCAAAGTACTCTCCAGTTGATGCAACACACTTTCAAGATGTTTTTTTCTACTGCTCAAAACAGTTTTTGAACTCTGATTTTGATGCCTTTTAGTGCTTCTGCTGTTTTTTTGTTTCACCTCTTTCATATCAGCAAAATGTTTTCCTCTGAGGACTTTTTTCATCCAGGGAAACAAAAAAAAGTTGCTCAGGGTAAGATTGGTTGAATAGGGAGGGTGGGGCTCATGATGTTTTTGGTCAAAACTGCTAAACACTCAGTGAGGCAGGTGTGCTCATAAATCACCCACCATGAAACATGTTGAGTCTTCAAAAGAAGTTCACTGAACCCACAGACAGCCTCTCACCACACCACCAGGTGGCGCACTGATACAGACGGGTTCTAGACCACTCACCTAGCAGGGGAAGCCTGTATTACAAGGGGCCAGCCCTCCAGGAGATACCACCAGTTTTCCTTACAAACTGTGCCTCATTCTCCTTAGGCTTTTCTTCAATCTCTTTAAAGACACAATCCATCAATGTAAATAGAGATAATAGGAACTCCCTCAATTTGATGAGTTCAAAGGTCCTTCTTATGTAACTTTCTAACTGTAGCTCTTCCAATGCCTAAATGATGCTGCAGAGTAACCTCTGCACAAGGACTTTGCACCTCCCAACTCCTCTTCAGCTGCCTGCAAAGCCCCACCACCATCCCTTGTCGAAGTGAATATTGGTGCCGCTTGAAGTTGTCATCTGATAGGTCCTGGCATGTTACTAGGGATTAGTAGGACTTTATGGTTAAAGGGGTACCAACCAAAAGATGCCTTGAATCAAGTGTTAACACATACTGAGAAAAGAAAGAACAACTGTGAAGCAAAAAGAGAAGTCTCTAAAATTTAGTATATTAGAGTAAAATGGAAGATACAAAATAACTGAATTTTACATAGATGAAAACAAATTCTGTGTGTAGTTTAAAATCTGTACTCTATATGAGAAGCATATGATTATATTTTCTTACCGCTTGAACATTGAACCTTAGGATCTCCTTCATGTAAGTAGGCAATAATGTCAACAAAGTATAAAAACTCCAGTTGTAAGAAAAGTGTGCAACAACAATAGCCCAAAGTGGCAAGGATTTTAGCATGGGTATCCATGGAACTGACTTCCGTGAAGAAAGCTGAAAAAAAACAGGCACATTTAGGGCAAGCTACAGCTATGTTTTGCTATGTTTAGATCTGTACCTTATCAGCCAAAATTCCATTTAGAACACACTATCAACTTTGATTAGTAAATTCCAGATTTTTAAATGAATTCTTTTAAAATATTAAAGAGTAATAGAGTCCATTTCCAGATTAGAAGAACAACAGAAATGTAATTAGAGCAATAATGTCAACCACAAACACTCGTTGTGAATGTTGTCAGAAGTCACCTGCAGTATTAATTCCTCCATCTATAAATTAGAGAACAGTGTCACAATGAAACTCAGAGGTTGGCATAAGGGCAAATGAAAGAGACTGCAAGTCCTATTAGAACTCATATTTCACTTTACAGTCTGTATTAAATTATAATGATTTATAAGAACTGTGCACTAGAACTATTTTTATGAAGCTATTTGGAGTAATTTTCTTCAAAGTTAGGGTGGAAGTACACCAGGGGTATGCAAGATGATCCACCAGGGTATGAAGAGACATATTAGAACTTTTATCTATACTCACTTTTAGTCTAAAAAATATTAAATTTTATTAATATTTAATAAATAGACTGGCCCTGGAGTATGTCAGATGTAAAAGAAAAACAGCAAAACGGATTTGATACTGTCAGGAGAGCAATTTCAAACAGCTGGGAGGCCTCCAGGAAGCTATTAGTTAATGCACCTCCCCGACATGAAACAATGGCTAAACCCAACAGCTCATCTTGATACAGCCCCTGGAAATGGCTTTGCATCACTGCATTCTTTTAAAAAACAAAATTCTCACCCAGCAATAGATATAAGCAACTAATCATGCACAGCATAGTGGAAGTCTGCTTGCCAGCACCAATCACAGCTCTTTCAAAGCAACTTGCATTACCCTTTAGGAAGCCCCTCTTTTTCTGTCTTTATAAGTTCCGTCCTCTTCTCCCCCTTGGAACAGAGTTGAGTTTCTATTCAAATCTGTTTTAAGGAATTTGCAATTCCTTAAAAAAAAACCCAAAACAAAAACCCACAAAGCTTTTATTTGCCTTGCAGCTATTGGTTAAAACTGACTGTCACAATTCAAAGTGGTTGATGGCGTCCTCACTTGTTTGTTTGCCCTCAGTGCATTACAGCATATTACAGTTTATACACGTCTTTACAGTGGATTTGTGGATTTTATTAGCAAGTTTTACTTAAAACAAATCTCACAAAATCAACAGTGTCTTCAAAAGACTCTTATAAAGAGTCAGTAGAAAGGAATTCTAATAATGTAAGCACGAGTGAACAATAGGAAATTAGTAGAGCTGACACTTCCTCATATGAGTTCTTTGTTGGCTGCCTCACCAAACAAAATGATGGCTGGCTCATCAACTATAACATATTCAAACACACTGCTCCCATTAAATACCATTATTATTACTAATTTTTAAGTGATAAAAAGGTGTTTTCCATTAAAAAGGTTTTTTAAATACTCTATTTATTTATTTTTAGAGAGAGGGACAGGAAGGAGAAAGAGCGGGAGAGAAACATCAATGTGTGGTTGCCTCTCATGTATCCCCTACCGGAGACCTGGCCTGCAACCCAGGCATGTGCCCTGAATGGGAATTGAACCAGAGACCCTTTGCTTCACAGGCCCATGCTCAATCCACTGAGCTACACCAGCCAGGGCCGAAAATTTTAATTTATGTATTTATCTGTTTATTTCTTATTCACCATTTAAAAAGTCTATTTTTATATATTTTATAAGGTACATAAGTACAGTAGTACATGTAGAAACCTATGAAAAATATATATATACTCAATGTCCTAGCCAGGTAGCTCAGTTGGTTGGAGCATCATCCTATAAACCAAAAGGTTGCAGGTTCAATCCCCAGTCAACCAACCGATGTCTCCCTCATATCAATGTTTCTCTTTCTCTCCCTTCCTTTCTCTGTAAAATCAATGAACATATCCTCGGGTGAGGGTTAAAAAAGGGAAAAAATTGGACATGAACTAAAATGGGGGAGGGAATATGGGTGGGAGGGAGTGTGCAGGGTAGAGGGGAGTGAAGGGGGAAAATGGGACAACTGTACTAGCATAATTAATAAAATATACTTTAAAAAAGAAAAAAAGGAAAACAAATGCATATACTCAAATTGTTAGCCATCCTCAATGTTTCACTGATGAATGATCAAGAAAGTCTGGATCACCCCAATAAGTTCAAAGAAAAAAAAAGAAAGAGAACCCGGAGATCACTGGTCCGGGGCGTCAGATAATTGCATTTCCTATATACTAAGGCTCTGTGGTTACTTTTTCAAAAGTTAGATCAATTTATGTTTCTGCTTCCAGGGTTCACTGTTATTTCAAAAATAGAAAGAACCGGTATTAACCTTCTGGTGGAAAAAGGACATTTTTCCTATCTGACTTGGCAGTTACACTTTTATCTTCTCCATTATGTATCAAAGATGTAGGGTATATAGGGGAAGAGAAGGAGAGAGAAGACTTATTCTTGTATAGCAGTGGTTCTTAATTCTTGCTATTGGACAAGCCTGGGAGCCCTTGGAGAATACTGACTTAGACAATCAGCCACTGAAATGCCGAAAGAAATCCTGCCATTTGCAACATGAATGGACCTTGAGGCCACTATGCTTGAGGCCACTATGCTAAATGAAACAAATCAGGCAGAGAACGTCAAATACTGTAATGATATAACATGTGGAATAAAAAAAAGGAACTCATAGAAACAGAGAGTGGAATGGTAATTGCCAGGGAATGAGGGGTGGGGGAAATGTCAGTCAACAGGTGCAAATGTCCAGTTACAGGATGAATAAGTTTTGGGAACCTAACGTACAGCATGGTGACTGAAGTTAGTAATACTATATTATATACTTCAAAGTTGCTAACAGAGTAGATCTTAAATGGTCTCCCCACAAAAAGGAAATGGTAATTATGTGAGGTTTGGAAAGAATATGACATGCTCATGTTACAGCTTAGAGTTCATTTGTAAATTGGCTAGAAAACAACAGTTTTGAGTTCCAGCCAAGATGGATGCGTAGGTGTAAATGCTTCGCTTCCTTGTACAACCAAAAGAAGGATAACAACCAATTTAACAAAAATAAACAACCAGAACTGCCAGAATATCAAACTGCATGGAACTCTGACAACCCAGGAGTTAAAGAAACATTCATCCGGATGGGTAGGAGGGTGGAGATGGGCAGTTGGATGGGCAGAGGGGACCCGCAGCAAGGTGGTGAACTGCATGGGTGAGGAGTGGCTGGCTGACAGGGAAACTAAAGACTCAAAACCTCTAGCTGTAAAATAATGTGGGGGTTGAGAAGGTGGGAGAAGCTCCTAGTCTCACAGGAGAGTTTGTTGGAAAGTGGGGCTAGAGTGGAGCAAGTGAGCACACTGTTCCCTCTCTGGCCCCTCCCCCACAGGCAGAGCCATAACACAGCAAGGAGGGTTGCCATGCCCAAGTGAATACTTAAGGCCCTGCCCCCTAACAACTTAACAGGTGCACCAAGACAAAGAAATATGGCCCAAACGAAAGAACAGAGCAAAACTCCAGAAAGAGAGCTAAATGAAGCTAAGTGATGTAGAGACAGCCAACCTATCTGACAGAGAGTTCAAAACCCTGGTAATCAAAATGCTCACAGAACTGATTAAGCTTGGTGGCAAAATGAAAGAACAAATGAAGGATACCCAAAGTGAAATAAAGCAAAATATTCAGGGAACTAAGAGTGATAGAAAGGAAACCAGGACCCAAATCAATGATTTGGAACAAAAGGAAAAAATAAACATCCAACTGGAACAGAATGAAGAAACAAGAATTCAAAGAAATGAAGAGAGGCTTAGGGACCTCTGGGACAACTTTAAACACTCCAACATCTGACTCATAGGGCTGTCAGAAGGAGAAGAGGAAGAGCAAGAAATTGAAAAGTTATTTAAAAAATTAATGAAGAAAAACATCCCCAGTCTGGCAAAGGAAATAGACTTCCAAGAAGTCCAGAAAGCTAAGAGTCCCAAAAAAGTTGGACCCAAGGAAGCACTCACCAAGGCACAACACAGTTACATTACCCAAGATTAAAGATAGGGAGGAAATCTTAAAAGCAGTAAGAGAAAAGGAGACAGTTACCTACAAAGGAGTTCCCATAAGACTATTAGCTGATTTCTCAAAAGAAACATTATAGGCAACAAGGGGCTGGAAAGAAGTATTTGAAGTCATGAAAGGCAAGGACCTACATTCAAGATTACTTTATCTAGCAAATCTGTCATTTAGAATGGAAGGGCAGATAAAGTGCTTCCCAGATAAGGTCAAGTTAAAGGTCATCATCACCAAGCCCTCATTATATGAAATGTTAAAGGGACTTATCTAAGAAAAAGAAGATAAAAAATATGAACAGTGAAAGGACAGCAAACTCATAACTATTAACAACTGAGCCTAAATGACAAAAACATGAATGGACCTTAAAAACTAAGCAAACAACTAGAAGAGGAACAGAATCACAGAAATGGAGATCACGTGGAAGATTATCAGTGGGGAGAGGAAAGGGGAGGGGAAGAATGGAGGGGGAAGCACAGGGAATAAAAAGCATAATTGGTAGGCATAAAATAGGGAGAGGTTAAGAATAGTATAGGAAACAGAGAAGCTGAAGAACTTATATGCAGAACCCATGCACACGAACTAAGGGCATGGGGGAGGAGGAATGTTGGAGGGTGGGAGGTGCAGAGCAGAGTGGGGATGAAAGGGGGAAAAAATTGGGGCAACCGTAATAGCATAATCAATAAAATATACTAAAAATAAAAGAAACGTTTTCTTTTCTCCCAATAAGAATTGTGAGATCAATTTATGGTATTGTATTTCCACATTGTAAGTTATGTTCAGGAAAGAAAAAAATCTTCATTTATAAAAACATTCAAGTTAAAGATGAATTTTTGAATGTTATAAGGAGAAACTATCCAAGTATTCAGCAGACACTAAAGAAATCCTTTAAGGTTTTAAGACAGTGATGTCTAATAGTACTTTCTACAACAGTGGAAGTGTCCTATATCTGCATTTCTCAATGTGGTAACCAGTAGCCACATGTGGCTATTCAGCCCTACAAATCTGGCTAGTGCAACAGAGGATCAGAATTTTTAATTGTTATTTTAAATTAAAATTTCATAGCCACATGGGCTAGTGCCTATCATAATAGATAACTCAGGTTTAAGGTAAGACCTTAATAAAAGTACAAAACAGCTTTTTCTGATATTCTGGATCTAAAAATTATCCTCTTGCTATTGTTTCTAAAATACCACTGGTGATAAATGAAGGAAATTTTTTAATTGCTCAGATCACCTTCCCAGCCAACATTTTGAAAGGAAATTTTCTTTAGGTGTGTGAATTGTTATGAATTTCTGGAAGAATATCAATGAGGTCTTGACTCTTGTATAGAGAATATATCATTAAATTTGTAATAATAGATAGACCAGCTTTTTTCCATACAAGCTAAAACTAAAAAGGACAAACTATCAAAAATTATTTGTTGTCAAATGTGTTAATTTTCAGAATATAGGAAGGGTAAGGTAATTTAACAAATACTTGAATATCTTTAAGTGCAAATTCACAGAAAAATGTTTTCCTGTCATAAGCAAGTAACAACAAATTGATTTGGAAAAAGTTGCACGAAAGATGTTCTTAATTTACAATAAAACATTCAAACCAAGGACCCCATTTGCTTTATAATGTTGCCAAATTGTACGCTTCTTCTTAAAAGTATAAAGGAGAAGCAAAAACAGTTATAATACATGATGTTTCAGGAATCAAGTAAATAAAAGAAAAAAAACAATACCAGATCTCTAGGAAAGAAAACCTCAGTGAAGTGGTAATGTTTTTTCACACTTTATTAAAAAGAGATCTTCAAAACTGAGTAAAAGTTGATGATTTTAAAGCACTCACTAGTACAGAGTTCACTAGTTATAAGCTGACCTTCTGAGTTTCCCTGCCGAGTGCCCTAAAGATTTTATTGTTCTTTTTTAACAATTTCTAAATCAGAATTGGAACTATATACATTGCCATAAATATAAGATCTACTCATTGTAAGAATGAAATCTCATTTCTGCCAGTAATATAGTATTGGCTTTTTCTTAGCTTGATAAGTGAGAAAGCATTCTAACCAGAACCCCCGCCTATCTTGGGCAGGTATTCTCTCCACACACCTATCCGGGTAAGCTTTTTGGAATGCAAACCTCATTCTATCACCAAGCTCACAAACAATTTATGGCATCCCAGTGCCTATGGAATAAAGTCTAAGCTCTTCAGTGAGACACAGGGGACCCCTCACGATCTGACTTTTGCCTGCCCCCTATATCTCTTGCAGCTCTTTGCTTTTTGCCAACTACTGCACTTCCTGGCACATACCATGCCCACACCATATCCTTGGCCTGGAATGCCTGCACATCTCAATCCCCCAGTTTGTCTGGCTTCCAACTTCCCTTCCAAGACTGATTGGATATACTTTTATTAGTGAGAGAAAAAAAAGCAACCCCAGATTGTTGTCACCTGAGCTGGCCAGCTTCTATCAACTTGGTCAGGGTGTTTGACCATTGAACTTGAACAAAGCCACTCTGCAAACATGATAGAATGAGATAAAAATAAGATCACTCTATAATCACGTCTGAGCACAAAAACATGAATGCTATAAACCACAAAAAGGAGCAAACATCTCCTCTCCTGATTAACAGCTTTAGCCCTCACCTTTTAGATAAAAATTAAGGTAGCCCTGACCAGTATGGCTCAGATGGGTATCGTCAGCAAAGCAAAATGTTGCCAGTTTGATTCCATGTCAGGGTACATGCCTGGATTGCAGGTTCAGTTCCCAGTGGGGGCATGTGCAAGAGGTGGGGGCACGATCAATCTTTCTCTCTCACACTGATGTTTCTCTCCCTCTCTTTCTCCCTCACTTCCCCTCTCTCAGAAAATAAATAAGCAAAATTTAAAAAATTAAGATAATTATAGAATTGCTACTGCTTTCTGACGGCACCACAACAGTAGTGCTATCTTATGGCACCGCATCACGCAACCTATACTTCATTGAAATTCTGTTCCTTAATGTCTGTCTCCTTTTGGAGATCACAGACCTCATAAGAACCGTATGTTGTTCATGTTCTTTCTGTCATTAATTTTTAAGTTCTCAGTGCCTGAAAAAGAACCTAGGACATAGTAAGTTCTCCCAAAATGTTTAAAGAATGAATAAAGTACAGCAGATGCTGTGGATCCAAGATTTAATCCTAACTCCTCTTGCTTTTGAATATTTTACTTTCTGAAGCATATGAAAGAACAAATTAACTTAGGTTTGGATAATAGACAGATTTTGAAACTCATCAGGTAGAGAAAGCTTTAACATAAAATCTAAAATTAAAAAGTGTCATAAGTCCATAAAAATTTAATAAAGTATTGGAAGAAGCTAGCTGTTGGCCATTAATGCTGAGAAAATATGACAAAACATATCAAGTTTTATGTGGCAAGACTTGTTTACAAAGCATTAAATTCTTTTTATCTGTTCCTTAAGGGAAAAAAGTGGGTAAGTCATTTGATTCACATCACAAAGGACACCAAGCTCTCAAAGTACCTTTCCTTATTACATTGCTGATTTCTTCTAAGTTTTTGCCAACCTTTAGCAAAGCTCAAGAGATGCCATATTTGCTAAAGTTCAACAGCTTGTGGAGGCATTTGTAGCAAAATTTAAAAACTTAAAAGAAATGTAAATGAGTAAGTGTTTAAATATTGCCTGGCTATATTATATATAAAAATAGAAAATATGAATAACAACAACATAACGGGCAATAAAAATTTTAAATAAAATATTTTATAGACTATATATATTTTAATTTTTCCTAATGTTTTCATATTATTCTTTTATTTTCCCAAAAGGCAAATATTTTGTTTCCATGGCTTGAGTACTTGCTATATGAAATTATGGCAGACTTTTATTTCTGACTTGCTATTGTGTTTAATAAAATATAAATTTTTTTCTAAAGAGGGCAAATAGGTATATATTATTATATATGATAATAAATGGGCTATCCTCATTAAATTACAATCATTTAAAGTACAGATAAAAACATACCAATTAGTTTTCTAACATCTAACATTTAAAATGAAGCTATAAGATTCCTTTAGTAAATAACACATTTTATTTTCTACTAATTAAGAAGAAAACACAAACTTAAGAGTTACTTGATAATCACGCTAGGGCAGCAATTTTAAACTGGTGTGCTGCAGCATAGAAGTGTGCTGCAAGAATTTTTAAAACATGCAATACCTGACTATTTAGTTGGGGGCACCGACCTCTTTTCCCTTAGAATGTCAAATAAAAAAATGACAACAGCCAACACAATAGCTGTCTGGTATGAATGAATCATATTACCATTTTTTTTGTCAGATTGGCAAAAAATATATATTTTGGTGTGTTGCAGAATTTTAGTAATTAGTTTATATGTGTCATGATGAAAAAGGTTGAAAATCAGTGCTCTCGAAGGTTTAAAATGACTTTAAAAAGTATTTTTTTCTTAGATTTAATCTAGAGAGAATTGGAATTTCTCAAACAAAACAAATGAATATTTTGTACATTTATTTCATTTGCTTGCTCTATTTTGCCTAGTGAGCAATGCACAATAAAAATATATATTAAAAATGGTATCTTGGGCTTCCAGGCCAGATAGTGGCATAGTTGAAGGAAAAAAATTGGTATCTTAATTCTGAAGAGAAAGAGCTTTTAAAATTATTTTTAAATATGCCAAAGTCCTTACCTGATTTTTTAATGATGAACGAATGTATTCCTTTTCTTGGTGGGAGATTGTCCTGTGAGTTTCTGGTGTATCACTAACTAACCAGATCCATAAAACAAACCAAATGATTCCTACTATACCTTAAAACAGAAAAATAACAGTTAAGTAAAATTAGAATGCACTGTCAGCAACTTTTATAAGTCTTGAAGAAATTATGTCATTATAAACTCAATGTAAATTTGGTTTCCATTTAGTTTTTGTTTCAAGTTCCTCTTATAATTCTTTAATGGGATAGTTGCTCTCTGTATTATTTCCTATATATTTTGAAGAGAACAACTTTTGACCATATGACTCTGCCTATCAGAGTATACCAGAGAAATCTTTTATTTTTATTTATTTATTTGCAAAAGTTTATTTAGAAAGTCATAGGTAGAAGAGATGAGTCATGGAAAAAATGCCAGCTGGGTTTTGTGGGCTCAGGAATCAAGTTACAGAGACCAAAGAGGGGCCCTTGGAGCTTAGGAAACACAAAGGCAGAGAGAATGTGCCTGTGGGGAGGAAAGGGAGAAGAGAAAGGCACAGTGTGCTCTAGAGAGACAGAGCAGCAGGCCCTGGGGAAAGCAGGGAGTGGGGAAAGATGCAGGTATGCTCCAGAGAGAGAAAGAGCATGCTGACAAATCTTTTAAAATATAAATTTACATAACTTATTATTTCCACAGAAATTGGAATTGATTTTTTGTTATTGTTTATGTTAATGTTTATTGATTTGTTGTTTTTTTTGCTTTGACTGCAGACAGACTTCCTGCATAAAATGTTTTTGTGGTAACCTAATTTATTAAAAATGTATATCATCATGTTAATGAGATTGAGAAATAAAAGGCCCTAGGCAAGATTAGAACTATCAAGTGAAGGCATCTTACTTTGCTTGAGAAGGAATTTTTCAAAATACATATATCTATAATGTCCAAAATAGTAATTTTTGTTAGTGAGTATAGTATTTACATCCTGGATTCAAGAACAGTCTCTATTTAAATAATCCAAAATTAATATCAGGTCAAAACTTAGCTAGATCATTTTAACCATCTCAACTTAAAACACAAGCTATCAGTAGTGTTTTAGAATTTTGTGGTTTAGGAGATGATTACTTCCATGGGTTAGAAGATTTATTTTTAACCAATTATGGGACTACTATTACACTTTGGACTTTTATTTTATTGATTATACTATCACAGTTGTCCCAATTCCCCCCCTTCTCCTCTGTCCACCCAGCACCCCCACTCACTCAGACATTCCCCACACCATTGTTCACGTCCATGGGTCATATGAATAAGTTCTTTGGCTACTCCATTTCCTATACTGTATTTTACATCTTAATGGCTATTCTGCAACTACCTGTTTGTACTTTTTAATCCCCTCACCTCTTCACCCATTCTCCTACACTCATCTCCCATCTGGCAACCACCAAAAACCTCTCCATATCCATGATTCTGTCTCTGTTCTTGTTTGCTCAGTTTATTTTTTAGATTTAACTGTTGATAGGAATGCATTTTTGCCATTTATTGTTCATAGTTTTGATCTTATCCTTTTTCTTAAATAAGTCCCTTTAACATTTCGTAGAATAATGGTTTGGTGATGATGAACTCCTTTAGTTTTTTCTTATCTGAGAAGCTCTTTATTTGCCCTTGATTCTAAATAATAGCTTTGCTAAGTAGAGCAATCTTGGCTGTAGATCTATGTAAATCACAGCTTTACATGACTTTGAATATTTCTTGCCAATCCCTTCTAGCCTGCAAAGTTTCTTTTGAGAAATCATCTGACAGTCTTACGGGAACTCCCCTGTAGGTAACTAACTGCTATTCTTTTGCTGCTTTTGTGATTCTCTCTTTATCTTTAAACTTTGGCATTTTAATTATGATGGGTCTGGAGTGGGTGTCTTTGCATCCATCTTGTTTGCGACTATCTGTGCTTCCTGGACTTGTATGTGTATTTTCTTCAATAAATTGAGAAATTTTTCTTCCATTATTTTTACAAATAGATTTCCAATTTCTTGCTCTTTCTATTTATTTTCTGGCATTCCTATAATGTGAATGTTGGAATGCTTGAAGTTGTCCCATAGGCTGCCTACACTATCCTGCCAGTTCTGTGGCTCTGTGGCTCTGTGGCAGGGAGGGTTCAGAAATGGCCTCTGCCTACCTTTCTGTCTAGGAGAAAACTGTTCCCCAGCTCTTGCCTTGATGCCAGATGTTTCAGTTCCTCTCTGTATGCCACTTGTGACTTTCGAGCTGCTACCCCTGTGCCGGAGCTCAGAGTGAGTGAGTCTGAGTAACTTTGTGTGTGGGTTCTTTATGAGGAACTCCTTGGGATGCCAGAAGTTTCTCCCACCACCTCAATCCCTGCTGGTTTTTGCATCTGGAAGTTATGGAGACTTATCTTTCGGGCACTGGAGCCCTGGGCTGGAGAGCCTGGTGTGGTGCTGGGATTCCTTGCTCCTGGGATATCCATTCCAAATATTTATCCACCACATGTGAATAAATATTTCACATCTCCATCCCTCCTACCAATCTAGATGGATATGGTTTATTTAATTCTATAGTTGTTAAACTTCCATTCAACTTGAATTCTGACAGTTCAACTTGATTTCTAAGTAATGGTTGTTCTATAATTTGGCTGTAATTCTGATGTGGTTGTGTGAGGAGGCAAGTCATGTTTACCTATGCTCTGGATTTGTTACACTATAATTAAGGTTAAATTTTTCAATCAACTTACCAAAAAAGTAGAAGACATAAGTCCAATTCATATAGAAGCAAATTATTCCAGAAAGAGGAAGAGAAATTACTGTCCCAAGCTGTGCTCCTAAAACAACAACAAAGACTTTGTAAACTCTTCAGACAGATGAATAGAGGGACAAGTTATAGTTTAAAGAAGATGGGTAACAAATAATGGAGAAGAGAAGGAATGATTCAGATCTCACAAGGGCTGAATTAGTCACATGTAAAATACAAACAGCCCATTTTCTTTTTTTTTAATATTTTCTTTATTTATTTTTCAAGAGAGGGGAAGGGAAGGAGAAAGAGAGGGAGAGAAACATCAATATGTGGTTGCCTCTCATGTGTCCCCTGTGGGGAACTGGCCTGCAACCCAGGCATGTGCCCTGACTGGGAATCGAACCGCGATACTCTGGTTCGCAGGCCCGTGCTCAATCCACTGAGCTACACCAGCCAGGGCAAACAAACAGCCCATTTTCTTAAGAAATCATTTACTAGAAAATCCACAACATTTAAAATATATATGTTAATATGTAGTTCCATTAACAAATATGTAGCTACTGATGAATTGGAAGGCATCAATCAATATAAGACCTAATAAATGCCACATGTGTTAAAAATTCAGGTATCTGGGGTTCAAAGATGGTTTCTAAGGCTGATAAACATGACCTAGAGCAGAATGCTTGATGAAATAAGAATAAACCTTTTAATAATATAATTTGCCCAAAATATATTAGGAGCAATTATTTCAGATAAATAAATAATAAAATTCATTTTAACCACCAAACACAAGACATCTTAGTTGTTATGGTGGAGCTAAAATACTCAGATAGCTCTTTGGCTCAAGTGTTGCTCTTACTAGCACATCTTGGAAAGTGTTAAGTGTCACATAGCAATATGAATTTTCAAATATGAGACAAATTTCCTTTGACTTTTAGAGATCAGGAAAAGATGTAATAAGCAGCAATGGACTTTGAAAAGATAGGTAAGAAGATACAGAGGGAGCTGTAACAGGATGAGTAAAGGAATGGAAGCAGGAAATCAGAGGGTAGGTTTGGGAACTTCATTTAGGTAAAGGAAGGAATAGGAGATAAGAGCTGGAAAAATAAGTCAAATGGTTACTGACTATCTACTCCACACCAGGTACTATGTGCCAGGGCATAGGCTAGTTGAAATGAAGTGGTGAAGAATGTAAAGAATGTTGACTACTAGTTCAAGTTTAGACTGTATTGAATAGGAAAAGGGGAACAAGAAATAGTACCTCTTGAACTTATCAGATTTCTCATGTCAATCTCTATACAGCTGCAAGAATCATCTTAAAATATAAATTGGTGTATGTCTCTCTGGATTAGAAACCTCTGAGGTCTCCCCATTCTATTTTGAAAAAAATAATCCTCATTCTTTCCTGTAGTTTGTAAGACCAGATGTTATCTGGCTCTTGTCTATTTCTCTAAGTTCTTCTGCCGTATTTCTTTTATTCATTATGTTTTACCCACCTATAGTGTTTTCATTTCTTTGAACCCTTATGTATTTCTTGCCTGAGAGCCCTTGTGCATGCCGTTCTAATAGGCTGGAATGCTCTTTGCATGACTAGTTCATTCTTATCCTTTAAATCTGACCTAATAAGTCACCACAGAGAGGCCTTTCTGAACCACTCTGTAAAAGCAGTCAGTTCAAACAGTTTTAATTTGGTTAATGTAAGAAAGGCTAGACTTCTTGTGTAATCTGGTAAAATTATAATTCACATGTAAAGCTCATGCTATCTCACTTATAGATCAAAATGATGGCAAATAAATGCATAGAAAAAAGATATATGAAGAGAAGGGCTGAGAGTCATGATGTGTGAATTAGAGGATAAAATTAGAAATCACAGTTTAAAAGGACAAGTGTTCAATTTTCCAGCCATTGTATTTTTTAATAAAACATAGCATTCTCTATACTAACATCTGAAAAGTCAACATTTTTTAAAATAAATGATGGCAGATGAAGAAACTGGCATTAATAAAGTCACATTGCTATATATAGTTGAGTCAAGTAAAATAATGTTAATAACGTTATACTCCCAAACTTAACTTTTTCCCAAAGGAGGCATCTCACAGTGTGTAATTCTGGAGTGCAGGCACACTCTTTCTCCAAGGTTGATATGTACATAACAAGTGACAGCAGAAACTTTTATAAGAACAGTTATCTCACCTGCATATGAAATACTAAGAAGCTTGCTTCTTTCAAGAGGGGGAGCCCAAGAAGACCACATGGCATGCATGGCTGGAAATGTAACACCCTGAGGAGGGAAAAAGTATATTTCTGATGAAATATAAGGTAGTTTTGTTAATGTTTTAAATTGAATTGAATTTTATTGCAAGAGAAATTTCTGAATAAAGATCAAACTAGAATCAGGTTCCATGAAGTGAGATGTCTTTACCATGTTAAGTGAAAATACTTTATAATGAAGTACTTTCAAAATCTGAACAAAGATTTGTGGATTCTGTCAGCTGGTGTGAAGACTAAGGTAAGGGTTACCATAGATCTAAAAGAATGCACTGAATGATGACATAAAGTATTCTTCTAAAGGTTAATTTTACTCATTCACTTTATTAGTGAGCTGAATGAAATGGGAATGTTACCATTATAAAACTTTTAAAAATACTGCGCTAATACTGTGGGATACTGGAAGAAATTTAAATTGATCTTAATTGACAGAAAAAATGGTCTGAGAAAAAAATGAATCCAATCACAGTGTTTGTAGTCTTTTTTTTCCTATCTGGGGATAACTAGTCTTGTAAATGCCAATTTTGATATGGAAAGGTAATGGAGCAGTGGAGGCCGGGAGGCTCACAGAGACTTGGGAGAGGAGGCAATGCTACAGGACAGTGGGAGTGAATAGGTTTTGGTAGATTCAAAGCAGTGTGGGTTCACAGCTCTCCTTTGTCACTCGTTAACTGTGTAGCCTCAGTTATTCTTCTTGAACTTTAGTTTCTTTGTATGTAAAACCGGGATAATACTCCCTATCTTGCATGATTGTTGTAAAAATAAGTGGCAACTAGTGCTATTATTAATGGAGAGAATACATGCTTTAATACTTTGTGCTTTCTGCTGATTCTTTCCAAAAAGAAGAAAGACCAGTAGAAGCAAAAATGATTTAGGCAGCGTTCCAAATTGGTAAGAATCTGTATCATTGGGCAACAGGAGTCATTATAGAATAAACGTTTAGATGTTTGGAAATGTCCACAGAGATTACGAAAACTTTTATTTAAAACCTAGGGACAGTGTAGGTATATTTATGGTAGATCAGAGGCTAGGGATGAAAGATGCAACCTATGTTTATGGATGCGGAAATGTACATGTGATTCACATTGGAGAAATAAAGATGAATGAACCTAAGAACACAACTTAAATTCTATTTAGAAATAAAGCAGTCACTTGAGACAGTAAAAGTAATACAGTCAATATACTGTAATGCTAAATGAGTGGCATAAATAGACGGTATGCTAAAATATAGAAATATATGCAGGAAGAAGATTCAATATCTGGAATAGAGACAATTTACTACAATTAAGTATAACTAACTCACTAAGGAGAAGAGAAACCTGGTAATATGGAGGTAGTTTTTATTGTCAGGAGGGATTTATTTAGTATACTTCTATTCGATAAGGACAAAATAAGAATCTTCAGATGACTGATCAAAGCTTAAATTTAAATAGTACTTGGAAATATCCAAAGTATTCTAGCAATCATTATGATACAGGGTGCAGACAGGGGGGCCCCCCAAAAAAAAGATTTAGAATGGTGTCCAGAATTCAAAGTGTATAGAAATATTGGAGAGACATATAAGACGTCCTCACCCCTACCCCCCCCCCCAAGGGGGAAGGGAACGAATGGAGCCAGGCCATTGAGAGCTGTTTTGCATAGCAACAGTTTTGCAGCTAACCTCTGGAATGATTATTTAACATATCTATAACCTTTAACTGGTTTCATAGATATGTTAAATAGCAGTGGCCAAGTTTGGAGCCAGGGAGAAAGACTGGGACTCAGGAGAAAAAAACTAGGAGCTGGACTCCTGAAGGAGAAGTTTGTGGCAGGGACTCAAGATGGGAACTAAGGGCTGCTCTCCGGAGTGAGAAGGGCTTGGACTCAGAATGTAACTAGGGTCTGGGCTCCGGAGTGAGAAGGCCTGTGTGGGAGCTTGGAAAAGACTGGCTCCAAGACATGAAGGGTCCCCGCTTGGCCAGATGAGAGAAAGCAACGTGGTTTCAGCAGAGTGAGGACCCCCTCTAGGTGAGGTGAAAGAGGGAGCCACGTGGTTTTGGCAGGGTGTGGACCCCCTCTTTCCCAGGTGAAAGGGAAAAACCACGCAGCTTTGCCAGAATGGAGATCCCTGCAGCCAGGTGAAGAAGAAAGCCACATGCTTTTGGTGCAGTGCGGACTCCTGCAGCTTTGGTAGAAGAGGCCCACGTGGCTTTGAGGTGCCCCCTTTGGCCTCAGGGCCTGGAAAGCAACAGAGACTTTGACTGGAACTGGGTACAAAGGACTCTTGCCAGTGGACCATGAGAGGGTACCACAGTACTTTGGATTAACTCGAGATCCTGCACAGTGACACAGCTGACGGTGCCAGCAGCCTGCAATACAGACGTGTGCTCTTTTCCTAATTTACAGTACCCGGAGTTGGGACAGTGGGAGAAGGGAGCGCTGTGTGGGTGTAGGTGTATACATAAAGGACTTTGATATTTTAGTGGTGGCATTAGGCCTGAATAGCATTAAATAAACATTTTGTTTCCTTTTCACAAATCTCTGGCATTAAGAGGTATCTTTCCAATTGGCGGCGGACAGAAGGGCCCAGTAGATTTTAGTATTTTGTTTTCGGGAGGGGCCCCTGTTGTATAGCAGTTTTGGGCATCCCTAGGTGGGCCAAATATTGTATTGCCCCTCCCTCGGACCTCCTCTTGTTCGGTAACAATTATCCAACTTGAGCTGTGACTAAATATGGGGCAGGTATTTTAGTCTCAATTTAAAAAAAATGACGGAACCAAGGCCTAGAGATTAGGATTTACTGAATGTTTTCACAGTGAAGCTGTTATTCAAATTCTGCTTTTATGACTCCAGTTAGTGGCTTTCCAACATAGCATAATATATTACTACCTAAAATAACCTTCATTTTCTACACCAAACCCAGAGGCCACTATTTTGCTTGGGTTAAAAAAGTGTTAAGAGAGAGCAAACTACATCTATGCCTTGGTTTCACAGATAGAAGTTCTAAGTTAGAAACAAAAGAGATCATTATTTAAAGATGAAGACATGTATGATAAAATGCAAGGTGAAGTGGAAAGGAAAAAAAATAAAGAATTAAAAATTTAAAAAATGATAAAAGTGTCAGGAGGGGAGAAAAAGAAGACATAAAATTAACTGTAACAATTCTAAAAGCAACAAAAAGACCAGAAGAATCACAGAACCAAAGAAAGTTATATAAAATGATCATCTGTCTCTAAATTAGAGGACCAGACAAAAAAGAACAAATGATAAAGAGAAAGTTCTTCCCATAGCAACAGATTTAAAAGAAGAGACAATTCAATAATCTACTGTATAACGTGTTTTAGATTTTGTGCAATCAATGACACAGCAGAGATAAACTGTGGCAAAAGTTCAGGAGGTGTGTCTTAACTATTTTTAATAGTGTTTTGTTTTCTTATCTCCTATAATAAGAGAGTAGGGAGAGCTGTAAAATGTCTCCTGGAAAATGTTTTCTCTACTCTTTGAGTAAAGCTATCAATTCCAGGGTGCTCCCACTCCAGCCTTTATTGACCACGAAAGAAATCTACTCAGATTATTTTCTAGTGAAAAAATAATTCCCTATTATCTTCTAATATCAATTTTTGGTTCATGATGACACTAAAGAATGTTGTCTTTAAGAAGACAAGAAAGCGATATAGGGTAAGAAGAAAAACAGGAGACAAAAAAATTACCTCTCCTAGTCCTTCCAGTGCTCTGAGCACAATGAGGGCTCCAACTCCAAAATCTGCAGCAATGGGAGTAAACAGGGTGAAGACAGCAGTGCCAAGGATCCCAAATCCTAGCAGTAGTTTCCCGCCCACTTTGCTGGCAACATATCCTCCAGGAATCTGTGTGATGATGTAGCCATAAAAAAAAGAACCGAGAATCCATCCTTGAGTTTCTGCATCCCATTGGTACTTTTTACCCTACAAAGAGTAGAAGGAAAAAAAAATCCAACCTTTTAAGACCTTGATTAAACAGTTCCTTTATCTTACTGGCATGTAAGTATATAAAAATGTACAATAATTCTGAACCACTGTTTTAGACTGAAGAACACACAACTTTCTACAAGGTAGGTTGAGTCACCATGATACATACATGCAGTCTCTAGAAGTGAATGGAAAGTAACTGAAAATCAAAAACTACACAAAAGGCTTGCTATTTTATGAAACTAGACTGTAGGATGAGTTGCAGAGGCTTTGTAATGACCATGACCGAGAAGGCTCAAAAAAGAGGCACAGGCTCAATTCAGAAAGCTACTAAGTAGGAGAATATTGTAATGGCTCAGTCATGCTTTGAGGCCAGGCCTGGGTTCCAGGCTAGCTCTATCACTTACTGGACTTATGTTCTGGCAAAATTAAATGAAAAAGGCATATAAGTAAGGTCTGACATATACTAAGTATTCACTTAATGTTGACTATTAGATAAATATAGATCATTAATATCTCCACATTTCAGACCAAGCATTTGAATGAGTAAGAATTTAAACCAAGCCCCAAACGTCATGTGACTAGAAAATGTAACTAGCAGCAGCACATAGTAAGGTAATAATGAACATTTGGTAACTGACCTGAATAGCTGACATCTTTAATACATGTAGCTGTATAACAGAGCTGACATGTCAAGAACCATTTGAGGGCTTCTTTTTAGTAAAGCTGATGAAGATAAGTAGCTAGAGCAACAAAAGTACTTGCCAAAGGGAAAGATACAGAGCAAATCCCTAATTATCCTTGTTTATAGTACCAATCTGTAGCTTATTTGTACAATTCTAGAGCTTTAGTTTAATACATTTATACATCACAGGTTGGAGTGGTGAAAGTGGGTGATATGTACCCAAATATGTATTTTGCAACATTATTCATGTCAAATATAAAGATTTTTGGTGTCGTTATTTTGCACATGTGCCTGTTTGGGCAGAAAAACCTTTTTCCTGCTTGAATGCTCTTGTTTGTAAATGGCAGAGGAGACTCACCCAAGTGTGATCTGACTCCTTGGTGAGCACTGAAAATGGATGAAAATATACTCATAAAAAAGGACACCAGGCTTTTCTCCCTGTACTGTCTCCCTGTGTGATAAGCAAAATAAAATACAGTCACGTGCCACATAATGACATTTCAGTCAGTAATGGAACACATATGGGACAGTCGTCTCCTAAGATTTTAATGGAGCTGAAGAAGTCCTATCACCTAGTGACACTGTAGTGCAACACATTAAACAAATACTTAACATGATGTTACAATTGCCTACAGTATTTAACACAGTAACATGCTACATAGGTGATAGCCTAGGAGCTGCAGGGAGAATTTGCTACCCCAAAATATTACTATTTAGCATAAGGATTATTTTAGGATGGTCAATTGCATTTTAAACAGCAGATAAAGGAGAAGCTTTGAAAACCAAGTAGAAGTGACCCTTTTAAAAGACATTTAGATCTGTAAGATATGCTATTTGAAAGGATGTTTTCCTCTCTATACCTGGAAGGTGGGAATGACCTCATCTCTAAAAACTCTAATCAATGAAGAAGAAAATGACTTAAATCTCCACAACAAACTTACTCTTGTTTACTGAGCTTTTCCTTTTAGTAAGACAAACAAGCAAACTTTCTACAAAGTAGCTGAACCATCATGATCAGACATGCAGCTTCTAGAAGTAGGTAAATAGAAAACAACTGACTTCCCAGGTCTCCACCATTTTCTTTTGTCTTCATCTGAAGGTGGTACCTAAGGTGGCGGCTTCAGCCATTTTCGCAAGTAACTCAGTGTTCCTGGGCCTCTCCCACGTACAAAGGAAGCATACATGCTGTTAAACTTGTTTTTCTCCTGTTAATCTGTATTTTATCACAGGGATGTCTAGCCAAGAACCCATAAAGGTGGAGGGAAAATGACTTTTCCTCCCCTACACTGCAATAGCCATATAGCTTAGGTGTGTATTAGGCTGTATTATCCACATTTGTGTGAGTGTACTCTGTGATGTTCACACAATGGCAAAATTGCCTAATGATGCATTCCTCAGAATGAATCCTTGTCATTAAGTGGCACGTGACTGTATTTAAAGTGTTTAAAACTCAGTTCTGAACAAATGATGAACACACACTTATCAATTCTACTATAACATGAGGCAGGCAAAAATGACTTAAGTAACTTAGCTTTAGGCATGTAGAAATTTTGGAAAAGAATGTCCTATGAAATTGCTCTGATCTTATTTTTCAGTCTGCAGCTGAGATTATCTAAGCTCTCCTGAAATAGTAGATTTTGTAAGTAAAACAGCTGTTAACTAATAGTCTTACAAAAGCTATTCAGCAATATCTTAAATAATCAAACTTTCTGGTGTGAAGGAAGAAATTTTTCTCCTACCCTCCTAGGTTCTTTGGCCAGTCTAATAATTAGATGTACATGGAAAGATTAACAAAATAAAATAACCAAATTTAATTATGTATGTGTGGGAACCTACATGCATGAGCGCGTCAGAGACCTCACCTACCTGAGAGGTTCAGAAGCAGACAGGGAAAATGAGGTACATACGACCTTCTGAACTAAAGATAAGTTCAATTTCCATGTGGGGGGAAGAAAGTCACTGCAGAACAATTAGAAGAGCAGATGTTCAGTAATTAGATGTCTGCCCTGGCTATTTCTGGTAATAACTCATTATAGACCAAAGCCCCTCATTTAAATTCTTTAAGGGAGAGGTAAAAGTTTCTCACAAGACTGCAACTCAAAATAATTTACACACAAAAATCGCACATCTTGGGATGGCCTCTTCTGAATCCCTTCAGTCCTGCCTTTGAAACTTCTGAGAAGTTACACATTCTAGAAGCTGGGTTGATAGATTGTTCCATGTCTCATTAAATTTGTCCCTCAGTCTTTCAGTTTCATTGAAGTTTTATCTAATTTCAGAAGCCAGTGACACAGGTGGGTTCCAAAGTTAGGCCTATGGTGCAAACAATCAGGTATTTAAGAAATATCCTTGTGGAAACAAAAGAAAAACAATAGTTAATGATTGAGCAGACTATTAATCCCAGTTTCTGAGTTCTGAAGGCAGGCAGTCAAGAAGATTTCTAGATGTCTGGCTTGAATCATTTTCAGATGGAGTGAAGGCAGCCAATGACAATTTGATAGATTTCGCCTGGTTTGAGGTTTGAATGCATCTGGTGATCTTTCTGCAATAGGCACAATGATATATAAGCTGTTGTGGTGATTTCTCTGAATTTTACATCCAATTGTCCAACTTTAGTTCCCATGGCTTTGGGAAAAGGCCAGTTTTGTTTCTCAGTGGTCTCAAGTCACAGGGTTTTGAATTGCTTCCATACTTACATTTCTGGTTTCACAGATTTATAAGAAGATAGGGGCAGTTACTCACTCTTTTTTAAAGTTATATTTTATTGTTTATGCTATTATAGTTGTCCCATTTTTTTCACCCCCTCTATCAACCCCCCCCCAACTCCTTCGGGCAATCCCCACACTGTTATCCATGTCCATGGGTCATACATGTATGCTCTTTGGCTACTCTTTTCCTTATGCTGTATTTTGCATCTCTATGACTATTTTGTAACAAGTAATTTGTATTTCTGAATCCCTTCACCTTTTCCACCCATTCCCCTAACACCCTCCTGTCTAGCAACCATCAAAATGTTCTTTGTATTTATGATTCTGTTTCTGTTCTGCTTGTGTATTTTCTTTTTTAGAATCAATTGTTGATAGATATGTGTTTACTGACATTTTATTGTTCATTTTTTGATCATCTTCTTCTTAAGGAAGATCCTTAAACATCTCATGTGATACTAGTTTGGTGATGATGAATTCCTTTAGCTTTTTCTTGTCTGGGAAGCTCTTTATCTGCCCTTCAATTCTAAATGATGGCTTTGCTGGGTAGAGTAATCTTGGTTTTAGGTCTTTGCTTTTCATCACTTTGAGTATTTCTTGCCAATTTCTTCTAGTCTGCAGTTTCTTTTAAGAAATCAGCTGACAAATCTTATGATGTGTCTTGGTGTGGGCCTCTTTGGGTTCATCTTGTTTGGGATTCTCTGTGCTTCTTGGACTTGTATATAACACCAAATTTAAGGAAGTTTTCTGTCATTTTTTCAAATAGGTTTCCAACTTCTTGCTCTCCCTTCTCCTCCCAGCACCCCCATGATGTTAATGTTGGTATGCTTGAAGTTGTTCCAAACACTGTTTATACTATCCTCATATTTTATTGTGTTTCTTTCTTGCTGTTCTGATTAGTTTATTTTTGCTTCCTTACAGTCCAAATCACTTTCTTATATTCCGATTCTTGGCTTCATTCACCGCACTGTTGAGTCCCTGAAAATTGTTCATTTCAATTAGTGTATCCTTTGTTTCTGACTGGATCTTTTTTATGCTGTTGAGGTCCTCACTAAGTTCCTTGAGCATCCTTATAACCAGTGTTTCAAACTCTTCATCTAATAAATTCCTTGTCTCCATTTTGTTTAGTTCTTTTTCTGGAGTTTTGATTTGCTTTTTCATTTGGGCCATGTTCCTTTTTCTCCTCATTTTGGCAGACTCCCTGTATTTCTTTCTATGTATTAGGTAGAACTGCTACATTCCTCAGGCTTGATACAGTGGCCTATTGTACTATATATTCTGTAGGGTCCAGTGGCACAGCCTCTGCTATTACCCAAGCTAGGTACTCAAGGTATGCCTACTGTGTGAACTGTGTACATCTTCCTGTTATAGTTGAGTCTTGATTGCTGTTGGCACAAGGTCAGTCAATAACTGTGTTCTGTCCAGGGTCACACAGCATTACTACAAAGCAATCTGTAGATGGCTCCTACTTGTGCTGAGCTTGGAGGTGCCCAGGAGAGGCCCGACTGTGAACCATGATTAGCTGCTGCAACTGCTGGGTTTGGAGCCACTTAGTGAGAGGTATGGGGCTTGCTAAAGCTAGGTGCTGCTTGGTTGAAAGAATTTAGAAAACTCTGAAGCATGGGCTAAGATAAGCAATCCATATGGAAAAGCCACTGGAAACAGCTTGGGTGGGCCCAAAAGTTGGCTGGGGCAGGGCCAACTTTTTGGGAATCACCAGGTTGGGGCAAACAGTGTGAGCCTGGTTGATGGAGTCTCAGATATGGTCCCTGCCTGCTGGCTCTGTGACTCTGTATGAGGAGGGACAATAGCCTCTGCCAACACTTCTGTCTGGAAGAAAGCTGCGCCCCCTGCCCCCCCTCCCCAGCTCTAGCCCTTATGACTGATGCTAGACAATTCAGTTTCTCCCCATGTCTCTGATGTCTTTCAATCTACTGCCTCCATGTTGGAATTCAGAGGGAGTGAGTCCAAGGAAATTTGTGCATGGGCCCTTCAAGAGGAACTGCTTGAGACTCCAGCAGTTTATGTCTCCCACAGCCTCAATCCCTACTGGTATTTACAGCCAGAAGTTATGGAAACTTCTTTTCCTGGCACTGGAACCCTGGGCTGGGGAGCCTAGGTGTGGGGCTGGGACCCCTCGCTCCTGAGATATCCCTCCTGCTTTTGAATGTGCCACACATGGGTGTGGACCAGCCTGTTCTACATCTCTGCCCCTCCTGTCAGTCTCAATGCCGTTTCTTCCTTAATTCTGTAGTTGGTTTCTTCTTTAATTCCACAGTTGTAGGAATTCCATTCGACTCGATTTCTGATGGTTCTGAATGATGGTTGTTCTACAGTTTAGTTGTAATTTTGATGTGGTTGTCTGAGGAGGCAACAATGTTTAATTATGCCACCATGTTTACTGTAAATCAGAACGGTTATTCTCAATTCCTCAAGGAATTGTGCTGTAACTTGAGTGACAACTATGTCTTCCTAATTTGCTTCTTTCCCTCTGAGTATACATTTTTATTTTAGCTTAGGGGAGGAGGCTTTTTTAAAGTTCCTGTCAGGTTTTGAATCTCTAGCTTCCAATTTTGTCAAATTTCTGATTAAAAAAGTATCTTGTCTGGTTTCAGCTAGAACAAACAGTAAATATTTCTGGCAGTAATAAACAATACCATCGATTTGTAGGTGTTCAGACAGGTCCCCTCAAAATGTGCCACTTTGGAATGTGAATTATTTTGAGCTGAAGACAATTAAGACCCTGCAGGCTCACAAGAAACTTTACCTCTCCCTCAAAGAACTAGGGGGCTTGCCCATGAGTTACCACCAGAAATAACATTTTATGACCTGTCTATAGAGCAGAGCAAATTTCTAATTTCTAAACACCTGCTCTTCTTACAGTCCTGCAGTGATGTTTTGAAACCCCCAGGCACCTCTCCTCATCTTTAGCTCACAATGCCATACATGCCTCATTCTAACTTTCTGTCTCTGAACCCCTCATGTGTGTAAGGTTTCTCACTCTCTTATATAAGTGGGATTCCCATGTGCATGTATGCTTTAAATTTTGTTATTTTCTCTTGTTAATCTGTGTCGTGTCTATTTGGTTATTAGGTCAGCCTGAAGAATCGGGAGGGTAAAGTTTCTTCCTTCCCCTCAGACTGAAGAGGATGCAAAAGTCATTGCCTTCTGGAGTCATTCCCTCTGAGAGTCAAAAGAAAGAACTGAAAGCTCGTATGTCCCAGGCAGGCAGGAAGCCATCCCAGTCCCTTAGGACATAGGCAATGGCTATTCCTAGGGAAAAAAGGATCAGTAACCAATTGCTCTGGATTTGGGAAGGAAGGAGCAATGTGAAATTTTATTTTCCTATCTCACTGGGCTCATGAGATAAATCATTTACAAAAACTTTTGGGCATCCTCTCTGAATTTAAGAATTCTAGGTAATTTTTATCTCTTTAATTTTTCATTAGCTCTTTCCAGTAATCATTCAATGAATACACAGGACATTCCGAGATGAGGGGGCACCTTTGCACTTCACAGGAGAGGAGGCTACTGAAGAAGGACAGAGCAGTGGTTCAGTAATTAGAAGTTTGCCCTCCCCTACAGACAGGTCATAAAAAGTTACTTTACTCCTGGATAACTCTTACTACAAACAAGGCCCCTAATTTAAATTTTTAAGGGAGAAGTAAAAGTTTCTCATGAGCTTACAAGGTCATGACTACCTTCAGCTCAAAATAATTCACATGCCAAAGTAGCACATCCTGGGGAGGCCTGTTCTGAACCCCTCCACTGAAAGGTCAAACAGGTTTTTCCCAATTTTCTTCAAGGATGATATGTTTATAGAGGAAATGGGCAAACAACTTTTCAGATGGCACAGCAGCAATAGCTAGAGTCCTAAGTTACTGTCCAACCAGTTTCTGGGAAGACACAAAAGAAAGTGATTCAGAATTTACATGAAGAAGTGTTTTTGGTTTTTATAGGATGAATAAAGATCTCTCAGTATGTTTACCTGGCTGTATTTTAGGATTAAGATAGACTGTTCACTTAAATAACAGTACTTACTGTTTGATTATGAAGAACCTGATTGGAAGCAGAATGCTCTGCACACTCCTTAGAAGTTCTATTATCTGCTGAAGTTGTATTTGAATCTACCATATCCACTAATGCGACACTCAGATTCACACGTAATGCATAGAGAACGAAGAAACCAAAAAAGGCCAAAATTGCTAAGTTGTAACGGACAGAGCAGCATACTGGAGCTGAAATAAAAATTGGGGAAAAACTTTCATTAAAAGAAAAACTTAGATGATATTGTCTAAATTACTCAAAATGTTAATTTTGGAATATACACAAATTATTAAATCATGAATATTTTCCCGAGACTATTATCAGATTAAGCATATCTAAACATACTTGTCAAAAATAATTTGTTCCTGGTATCTGTGGTTTTGATAAACATTCAACACATAAGAGTTTCTTAAAGCACGGAGGCTATAGCTTTGTCAACTTTTCTCAGAAAAGTTTCTAGTCCAGAGTCAATACGGAACCCTTACTTCCTGTTGGCTGGCAAAAATATAAGAAAAATAAGTAAGGGGGTTTAATGGTATCACTATTTCTAAAAAACGTCTAAAACATGGCCAGCAAGCCCTCGAATACTCACTACAGAATAGCACGTATGCTACTGACTACAGATCCGTAGCCACCGCACTGTAAATGCAGCACAGCACAAAAACTTTACTGTTAATTTCATGCTGAGTGTGAAACCCTTCTTGATGAATTTCTTACCTTGAAACGTATCCTTAGAAGCTGAGATTGAATCAAAAGCCATGATTAATACTGAAGGCTCTCCTAAACTAAATGTATTTAAGAATCCAGAAGCGAATTTGCAGACTCTATGACAGTTGCAGCATCTGTGACCGTTGCTCAGCTGATCATGCTTAAAAGGCCCATGGCAAAAAGGGAAAGAAGTGCATGTACCACAATGATTAAAAAAAAGGGGAGCCAGTGAAAGAAGGATCATGTGAGAGGAGTCTGACCTATTTTTAACTCCAATCATAGGCTTATGCACTATTTTCTCTTTTCTTCTTCTTCCATTGAGTTGCATAATGGGGTGAGGAAATGGGAATTCAGGAAAAGTGATTGACTTCTTAGAGACAAAAAGAACTGGCTAATCCAGGTCTTACACCTTTAAATTTGGTAAACACAGAGTGTTTGAAAACTATCTGTTTAAAGATACGAATATCTATTTCATTTGGTAGTGATAAGAACATACATATATTTTCACCTATTCAGGAATCCTGTTGTTTTCACTGATCTAACATCAAACAAGAATACATTTTTCAGCATACCAAGGTTTTGGTACTGATTCAGACTGACTGATTCATGCAGAAGCATTAATGAATAAGGCACTATATTTAGGTATATGTTAATATACTGCAATTCTAACTTTTCCATAAGCCCTCATGCACTTAAACAACTGCTATCATTTTTCCTCTGTGCAAGATTTACATCTTTTTACAGAGAACTTTTCATTTGGTATCTTGGCTTCTTTTTCAGGAGCAGAGCTAGCAGAATTATGGCACTGCTGCCAGTTAGGTCCAGACCCAGGAGAGATGCATTTCTAAGGCTCTATTCATACTGTCTCTGTTACCAGAATCTAGATACATTTGTTCTCTGCCCCAACCAAGTAGGCAGTGGTCCAGGTAAGGACAGTTTGAATACTACAAGGCATGTTTAATAGGAGAGCATATTTGTTTTTTCAATCTTCACCCAAGGATCTGTTTATTGATTTTACAGAGAGAGAGGAAGGGGGAGAGAGAAACACTGATTAATTGCCTCCTGTAAGTGCTACAACTAGGGACTGATTCTGCAACCTAGGTATGTTCCCTGAAAAGGGAATTGAACCTGCAACCTTTTGGTGTATGGGAGGATGCTCCAACCAACTTAGCCACTCAGCTGGGGCAAGAGCACATTTATAAATCATCATTTTTTCTCAGACAATAATAGAAGTCTGATGAGTACTCATAATCTAAACAAATTTGGGTTATTAGAATGTGCTACTTTGAGTAATTTGAAGAAAGAAAAATCTAGATTTACATACAGTCTGCTTTGCCAACATACAAAGTTCATCTACTTCAGCAGAGGAGTGACGTGATTTATGGTTTAAAGAGCTGGTTCTCTGGTTGCTGTGTGGAGATTACAAAGGGGGGAAGTTTGAATGGGGGTAGGGGACGCAGAGTCAGGGAGATTACTGAAGGGACTATTGCAGCTTTCCAGGTAAGAGATGAAGGTGGCTTAAACTGGAGCAGAGCAGAGCAGAGGCAATGGAAGGAAATGGGCAGATTTGAGATAAATTTAAAGGAAGACCAACAGCCCTTGCCTATGTATTAGATGTGGGAGAGAGTAAAAGGGAGGAATGAAGTTATTAGTTATTCTCTTACCCTAAATTTGTAATGCTATTACTCTATTCTATCCTTATTTGCAGTGACCTTATTTTACTGTATGTTATTATTTCCCCCTACATGTTGCTTGAGTTGGACTCTGATATACCTCATCATGTGAATAATACATGAGGCTAGAAGCTTGGGAAGTAAAGAAAAGGTATTTAAATGATTTCAAATTATTAGTGATATTACTGAAAATCTGACCTAGAAGTTAGGTCAGGCAACTTTAACTTTTTGGGGCTCAGTCAATAATAAGAAAATAAAAAGCCAACACAGATGCTACAGAGTATACAAACATGAGGTTTTAAGAAATATTAAAAACAGATGGTTACTATCTTTATAAAAATGGTTGTTGATCACAAATCAGTCAGAAAAATTTTATTTCATAAAAGTGTAGCAATAAACCAAAATGTGCCTGTGAATGTGGATAATGTTTGAAATGTGTTCACAAAAGCATTCTTGCATGATGAAAAGAGATAGCATCCATTGAGCATCAGTCACATTGAAATCAAGTTCAAAGGAAAATCATGCTTGCATAATGAACAGAGCTCCCATCAAAACAAATACCAGCTTCTCAAATATGGCTTAAACTCAGGAAATGTGGAGTGGGTGTAGCTGAAAGAACACAGGCTAATTTACAGTGAGGGAGACCTGGAAATGAACTTCGGTTCTGATTTTCACTTGCTGTGTACCTTTGGGGAAGTTACTTAAGTTTTCTTTCCAAGATTTGCCAACTTTAAAATGAGGCGATCAGCATATACCTCACTGGGTTTTGTGTGGAGTGAATGAAGTTCTGTAGAAGCAGTATAGTAGGCATCCAGTAAAAGTGAGTTCCTTTCCTGTTGATGCTGGAGAAAGTTATATCAATAAGATAAAGTGCCACAGTGCATGTGTGTGTGTATGGGAGTCAGGGAAGTTTTCCTGGAGAAAGTACATATGTGCTGAGTGTTCACTAATGAGCAAAAAGTCACTAGAAAGGTTAGAAGAGGTATAACAATGCAAACAAAGACAGCAGTATGTACTGAAGTATGAAAATAAGAAAGGCAAGCACAGGGAGAGCAGGAAACTTCAAATGATTTAATGTGGCTGGACTATGGTACTGTAGCAACTGTGAGTGAGATAGCAGGTATTGAGTTTAATAACAAAAAGTAATAGCTAATACTTATTGAGTACTTACTAGGTGCTTCTCCAAGTGAGTTGCCCTGTATAAGGGCTATTATAAAGATTAACTAAGTTGGTACATGTAAAATACTTAGAACAGTGCTTAGGACATAATAAACCTTCAATAACTCTGAACTGTTATTAATTATTATTATTGCCTTTTTTGGATATTAAGAATTGAGGTCATTTGTTAGGAATTTAAGTTATTTCTCTTCATGAGAGATTATGTGTTGGGGAGAAAGTCAGAGATTGTTAGAAAAAATAGGGGTGTGAAGTTCCCTGTGAAACGTACAGGATTGCCAAATGAGTAGATACCCGTGCAAAATTGGTGGGAACAATCTGCCCTAGTGTGTGACCTTGAACAATTGCACACCTGTGCTCAGAAGGAGGCACTAGGAAAGAAGACAGGACACTGAGATGGGGGTGGTGACAAAGCACAGGGCAAGGGAATTTGAAAGAACTGGCAAGAAAATAGTGTTGGACTGTGATTCTGACCCAACTAGGCAGTGAAATGGAGAGTGCTAATGGTTTAAAAAAATGTACAATAAAATACAAGAGCTCTGTAAGGACAGGAGGGAAGGAAGTCATTGGACATGTAGGAGTCCAGAGAACTGAGGGGACATGGTGTTGGATGAAAAGTCACTCAGGATAATGGTAAGAAATAAAGTGTAGAAGATGGAGGGGTGTCAGATGGCAAATGTTTGATGAATGAAGCAAAGTGCCAGCAAGTGGGTAGAAGACACAACAATGTAGGGGAAAAGTGATGTAGCCCAAAGGCATTGACAGTGGAGGGGTACTGGTCTGGAAGCATCAACGTGGAATAAGGAGGAGTCAATTCATCAATAAATACTAGGCTAGAGAAAATGATTACTTCTTGAGAAAGCAGTGGAAAGTGGCAGTGCAAAGTGACACTGGGATGCCCAGAAGGCAGGTTTCTGTTGAAGCAAGGAGGTATAAGTGGCGAGGCAAGACTGGGGAAAAACGGGAGGTGTCAGGCATTTACTCACTGTGGAAGGGTGTTCTAGTGAGAGGTGTGGGCATAGGTGAGGAGCAAGGAAATACTGAACAGCGAAGCGCTGACTGAGCTGGAAAACCCATGGTGAGGGGAACTACCTGTGCAAAGATGATGACAGCGGGCACTAGATCTAGTGATTCTCCTTGGCAAGGGAACTGCATTAGAAAAGACTCCCTACCTAAATGGAGAAAATGTTTTGACTTTATAAAGGGTAACACTCAACTGGTCTTATCCTGCCTTGGCTAATTAATTTCTGATAAATCCTTATGAATACCTAGCTCCCAAATTAATTACTATTTAAATAGAAGAAATATGAAAACATTAAATTCCATTAAAATGGACTAGATGACTTTAATATTAACACTGATTATCACATGACCCAAAGCAATTTCCCTTCATCCTGAAATATGGTTGCTCTTTACCAGCATTGCATACCTTATATTTAAGACTATATTCACACACAAAGCATATTTGTGAAACTCAATGCTTGAGTAACTGAACCTTGAATGTAAGCCACTCCTAACAGAATAGTAGAGGCAAACAAACAAACAAACAAACAAACCCAAGAACAAAATCAATGAAAGCACAGCATGCACTATTTTAAGCTAGAAAAATCACAGGTTGCTACAGAGTGTGACAG